AAATATCTTCCCGTCCAGCCTGATAAAACATGATTAACTAGCATCTTGATCATATGACCACCTCAAAAATTAGGTTTCACCCTAAATAAATAGGGGGCGTTGCACGAGCGCATGCTGAACAATCCCGATAAAGATCCTGCAGGAAAAACTTTTTTCTCAGTTTTTTTTTCGTGTCAGAACAAGAAACCCACAGTTCAATAACCCGTCCGACCTTACACACGTCAACTTTCACTATAATTTTTAATGTGGATACGCGCACGGGGCCGCACGGGTCAAATAATTATCAGCCATAAACGTGCAATTTAGGTAAAGTGTTAAATTAATTCATAGTATCTTGGACAGGAAAAGTAAGAAAAAACAGTTTATACAACTAGCTATTACAAAACCTATATGCCTATATCAAACCTCACTGATAGCGGCTCAATTAAAATGCATTACATAAGGTTTGGCCGAGCTGACATCGATTTATTGAAACCTTTTAAAATTCTAGTAGAAAATTACAAAAATCGAATGGGTTAGCATCCTATTTAAACAAAGTTTCGCTTCTCCTTGCTAAAACCTTAAAATATATTCATTGTATTTCAGGTGGTGGTGGTGGCGGATTTTACTCCAGAGGAAGAAGTGGAAAGTATTTTAATGGAACCAAAGGATGGAGTGGAGAAGGTGGTAAGGGATTTATTCAGGAAGGGGTGGGTGGAAGAGGCAGGTATAACGATGTCAAAGGTGGATTTGGTGGAGGTGGTGGAGCTCATGGAATGATGGGAGGAGGAGGAGGAGGAGGATACTCAGGGGGAAGCTGTGGAAATAGTCGTCCTGACAGCTGTGGGGGTGGGGGAGGCTCTTACAATGATGGAAACAACCAGGACAATAAATGTTGTTATAAGAACGCTGGTCATGGTCGAGTGACTGTTCAGTTTCTGGAGTAAAAAAAACCTTTATCTAATGTGATAATGGCACTTAGAATTCAGCTTTCATTGACTGGCATTCTAATTGACTGACAGCACTCATTTAAAGTGCCAAATAAAGTGTAACTGTTTAATTTTTTAACCTTCTGTGAAACACAAAAGTCACCCATCTTATTTTTCATCCGAGCTCGGCGCCTTTTTTTTTCATATATAGTCGAAAAGTACAAATAGGGTTCTAAAACTTGAGATAATGAAGAAATTATTTTTTTCAGAAGTCGAGTCTCTCTCGTTATACTTTTTTGCCAGGGTCTTAAGGAAAGATCACAATATCGCACAGACCAATCATCTCACTGTGCAACCTAAAACGATGAGAAACAATTCCAAATGATGATATATTCTGGAAGCTTAGGATTGAGTTTTGCATGTTCTTTCATATCAATCCTTTGATATGAATCTTCATTGACCTTCTTTCACCGATGTTCAGTGAGATCAGTGAAGATTTTGAGATCAAACAATAAAAACGCCAGTTACGCTGTAACAGTCTGCAATCAGTATGGCTTTCCAGTGTAGCAAGTACTAATCTTAACACTGAGAATGCGTTGTCAAATGATGAAGACTAACATGAGGGGATAATGACACGTCCGATTTTGTCAAAGTTGAGATCCCTCCCGGGCCCTTTGGGGAATGAAATCATTTGCTAATTGGTATAACAACCAGATAACTAAATGAAGTTGTCACGGCAGCTTTGTAAATTTACGTGTGAAATTTTAAACTACGGACCAGATAAAATAGGAAGTATTCACGAGTAATTCATTTAAGGACAGTTGGTATAAAGTATTGCTAGTCTTGCAAAAATCGGTCCTTCTTCATCTATGAGTAATACATATTGCTTAAGCATTTGAATAACGGAATCATATTCCCTTTGTTTCTGTAATTATAATTTATATCATACGCTTTGACAGTCTGTCCTGAATTTAACAAAAACACGCTATGTATTTCATAAAAATACTTGTGACAAACAGAAAGATGTCGTTGTCATCAGCGAAAAATGTATCTGTTCGACCTATGATCTTTCTGTTGAATTCTACATTGTTTTAGCCACCGATCAAGCAATTTCAAAAAGACCACGGTCTCTTACAGTGAGCCAGTAACATTCGCCAGGAAAAGAAGCATTTTCTTTTAAAGATCTTGAATTAAAATGGACGATAAGCCGGTCAAAAGGGTTTCATGAAATGGCAGCAATGTCGATCTATGGTGAGACATCACTTACATTCAGTATTAAGAAATATGTTGTCAAATACACAAACATGAGGTTATTACGTTTACCAAGTAAACTTTCATTCAAACCTGTTGCTAGTAGTAGTTAATACTGGAAACTTAGTGCAAAGCTGTAAATAGAATAGTTCTCCAGCATATTGTTTGTGAATTGCATGATCTTGTAATGGAATATTTCAAGTTTCCTTACAATTGCGGGCAAATAGTGAGACGTTTTAGATTTAAAAACACGATAAGAGAAGAATAATAGCAAAGGGACAAACGAGGAAACAAACTTTCACAAAATGACTGATTTAATTGGATTTGGGGAGGGGTGGGAGAAGGGGGTTTCCTATATTTCGAGACACCTCGCTAAGGTACAACTCATCCCTTCCTTCCTGCGCCACCCAACCTTGTCTATGACAAAAGGGGGGGAGGGGGAGGGGTTATAGAATTAAAACATACATTTGCGATGACAACAACGATGTGGAAAATGACTTGTACATGTACGAGACAAGCGCTTTATTCTGTGGAAAACTAAGCCCATGACAAGATAACTAAGAACTGTAATGCTTCACGGTTGTTATATCAAGAATAAATTTAAAATATGGTAATCTTACTAAGGTCCGGAGTTCCAAATCAGGAAAAGTAAGTTACCATGACCGTAAGCTTTCATAGCTTATGGCGGACTCATTTATCGGAAGCGTTAAGTCCAAGTTGGGCATACCATCAATATTAATACCCGAGGATAGGATGCTATGAAGGTATTGGAAAAGGAGAAGAATTGGAAAGTAAAAATACGGCCCCTTGTATTTTCCGAAAAATGTGCTGAGAAATTTGGGTAATATTTGTAATTATGATAGAGGTTGGATACAACACGCGCTATATCGGTTGAAAGAGCGTGCTCTATCAGAGTATAGAGCATGGACTGATTTAAAACTATATCACGATTTAGAACTATCACGATTTAAAACTATCACGATTTAGAACTATCTAGCGTTTGTTCGTTAATTAGTTAAAGTGGCATTTCGGAATAAGCGAGCAGGTACGTAGTAACAGAAGAACTAATCAAAAGTTTGTAGGAATGCCAAGCGCCGTAATTTGCGATATCATAACCCGTGCAAGGACGAAAATCCTTAAATAGAAAAGGAAATGGACAATTTGAGTTCCGAAGGCTTTCATACTCAGTTAGATTGTAAGGTTACGTACGGTAATAAAAATCGAACACAGCTAGCACTCGTCTAGTATATGTAGTTTCGTGTTTAAAACAAAACAGAAGAGAAAAGTTTTTGGTGAAATTAAACTTGAAAATATATATAAAGTGGCATAAATATTAAAATTCATACAAATCGTGTCGATGTCAGAGCTTCTGCGATCATGCTGAGGTGAATCACGGCTAGCTCATCAGGTGATACTCGGTCCTCGTAGTGAAGCAAGCCTCAGAAATTACATCGGTCAAGCGCCCTTTAGGTGAACTGAACTGTGAGCTCGCTCTAATGTCCTTTCCGATCGCTGCGTCAGAGTTGAAGGCCAATCAGTCACAGCAGCCAACTTTTACGTCGCTGTCATCCAGAGTAATATTCTTGTTCCGATCTTGTCCTTCTTGTCGTGTAAACAAAAAAAAAAACAAACAAAACAAAACAAAACAAAACAAAAAAAACTAGCGCGTTTTTTTTAGATATGAGCCACAATTCTGGGGGGTTTCAGTGAACATTTCACAATTAGAATCTGTGTTAAAACGAGGGCTTTAGGCAATGGTGCTAAATTCGGCCCGCCAAATTCGAACTATTTCCTTTTTTGTGAGCTATTGCAGATCGTGAACGAACTTCGATGGTCTATAAACTTTAATAGCTCGATATTTTTGACAGCTTTAGTCTTGTTCAACCAATCGGATCACTTGAACCATTCTAACAGGGATTCTGATTGGCTTATTGTAGTCTGCATTATGAGAGTATAGAGCATGTTGACGACACTGTTGTTCGCACTAAAAATAAAGCTTGTTTTGAAAATTGAAAATAATACGTAGGAAATTTAACAGATTCTTCATTATAAAACAGATAGAAGAGCCATGACTGTACTCTGTTCTATTGTTAGGCACTCAGGAAGCGGCTAGAGCACTCACGAAATGGACAGAAATGCTGGACAACATCTCGTGTTTTCCCCCTAAACTGCTTCTTTCCTGCTCTATCCGCTTCCTTTGTGCTTTAAAATAGAATAGAGCACAATGAAGGCCTCTCTTTTTGTTGATTAAATGTTTATTCACACCTGTCATATAGACAGATTTACTTTCGCACGTTCAAATTTATAGCATTTTTTTCATTCCTTCAAATGGATAAAGTTCCAAAAAGAAAACTTTTGGCAAAGGGTTTGACGTTACGTGACATTTCAGGACTCCTTCTCTATTGACTGTTTAATCATTTTGAAATGACAGTCTACACTCTATAAACACTCTCACTAGCCAAATGAAAGGGAAAACACCAAACTCAGTCATGGTAGTCATTTAATTAGTTTATATTCAAGGAGTTTATGAAACTGTAGAATTGTTTTGACTCTAACCTAGAATACAAGAGACTTCAATTAGTCAAAATTGGCTCGTAGGGTGAAGAAGTACGTGCCCCAAAGGAAGTTAATGGGTGATACTACTAATAATCATCATAACACTTAGTATCTCTAGATTTTTCTTCTCTTCTTTGTTTTTGTTTTCTTTGTCATCGCTCGTTCGATTCTAAAAGAGACATATCTCTTTTAAGATTCCACAAAACAAGAGGCTTGTTAATGGGCATTTGTCTGGCACAAATAATGTTTGAAGAAAATAGGAAACAAGAACAGTTAAGAAACTTATTGTCCCGCCCAATTTTGATTAATAATGAATGACGATAGCAGCAAAACTTCGCAGGTTTGGCTCTTCAAACACCTAAAGCATTAGAGATGGAAAATTGATGGTTCTCGCATTTGTTTCCCTTTATTGAAAATATTTTCAAAAGGGAAACCTCCATGATAGCGGATTAAAAACGTTGTTTTTTAACAAGACTGAGAAAATGGCCCGCCCGATGCTCTCTTTCATATTCCTTCTTTTTTCGTTTGGAGGCTGGTTCTACACCTCAATAGCTGCAAGCCATGGTGAGTTAACTCCTTAACATTCTTTTGGGTGGGTTGGATGAAAATGTAGACTATGGCAACTCCCTAAAGTAATACAAATCTGGAGTTGCAGAAAAGTAAGGGCCCGACACTTGAGTGCAAAGAAATTTTGTATTTTGTCAATAAGATTAACCAATTGAAAATGATGAAGAAGGAAACTACGATTTTACAAAGCGCTAACAAATTTAGAAACTTTCTAAACGAGTTGCAACAAAATCAATAGTGTACGGGAACTTCATTCGTCACGGTATTTTGGTTTGAACTTTTCGGCGACGTTTCCAAAGTTTTCAATTTTTACAAAATTTGTTCAGATCAATTTCATCAATAAAAAATCAGATATACGTAATAAAAGTTCTCATTCGGGATGATGAATAACTCGGATGGCAACGTATAAGTGGCACTTAGACCTTTGTAACTTGAGGAGAGAATATCAAAAGGTGGAATTTGGTTTAAAGGTTTTTGTTGCTCAAGAGTTATCTTTTGCAGTTTTTATTTGAGTCTCTAAAGCCATTAGACTCGTAAATATACTCATTGCGTTAGCTATATTAAACGCAGCGAGTATGAAAACTCTGAGAAAAATTTCATATCGTCGTAGCGTTTAACTTCAGGTGGTTAAAGAGTGTTTGACTTCAGTTCTGTCTCCATGTATTAAAATAACAGAGTATTCATTTAAATCATTTTATAGCGGAAGAAACAAAGGTATCTCTAAGATTGCGGAAGATAAGGAAAACGTTTGGATTATTATAATTTTTACACGGAGACGCCTTCTCATGCTTTTAATCATTGAGCAAAACCACAAATAATATTTCCCTCTATGACGCTCGAGTTTTAAACTTTCAAGATAACGAGGTAATCATCGAGCGAGTATGAGAATTCTTTATCTACGTTATCGTATTTTTCATTTGAGAAATACCCTATAATAAGCAACATCTTTGCTTTTTGAAAATGCAGGAAGCTGTTTTAAACAAACTACCTTGAAAACTTTTAAAATATGATTTAGTCCACAGCGAAAAATTGAATATAGCAAATAAAAACCTCATCCGTTGTATTGAATAGACGGTTGTCTCAGTATTTTGTCTCCTCTTGACTACTTAGCGTATGTAAGGAAACAAAAGAACTGCTTTAGGGTTAGGTAGGCCAGTGAGCGGTCCTTTAGAAACAAACAATTGCCTCAACTAACCCAACTTACAGTGACTCATTTGAAAATAATTAGCCAGATCTAGAAAGGACGCCAAGAACACAAGATGTGCGGAGTTTGAATAGAGACATTCTAAAGAAAAAAAAAAAAGAAAAAAAGTCGTCGACGCCAGGTTACAGTTAATTTCAACAAAACAGTTTCTTTCTTGTTACGAAAAGGCTTTTACTAGCAGGAACTTTACGTCAGTATTTCATGGAAGTCCACGCGACTCCATTACTAGAATTGCAAGAATTCTCAATTTTTTTTTTCCGGAGACACTTATGTTTTTCATAGAGAAAACAACCAACCCATAACAATTCCTAGTGATGTTGATGGAAAAACATACCACTTATTTATGATTTTCGATCATTTTTAAGCAGACACCTGGTCATGTTTTTCGATCCTCAAAAACTAAAAGTAGGTGAAACATCCTAATTTCACTTTCGTCATTAATTGCCATCATATTAATCATCTTCCTACTCTCAGAACATAAAGAAAACTAATATAAAAATTAATTCTTCGTCCTCATTTCGATGGCCTCTATTGAAGCAGAGGGACTTTACCTACATGCAATCTATGTAATAGCTTACGAACAGGACATTTCAACAATTTCTTGAACTGAGTTAGCCTTTGAAGTAAATAAAGTAGGGAAATAAAATATATATAGGCGATGTGAAATAACTCTTTGTCTGTATATAACAAATAGAATGATATATTTTTCAACAATGGGTCATTAATGATTTACTCAGTGCGAATGCCACAGAAGCAGTTTTGATCAGTAAGCCGAAAAGTGAGAGATAAAGAATCCATGGGAATAAAACTCACAAATCGACAGTGGTTTAGCGTGGTCTCGACGACAACGATATTCGTCATCACAGTGGCCAAAATGTTTTGGATTCTTTCGATGTGTGACACGTTGCGTTACACATTGATGAGAGCAGCATTGTCTGTACTCTTATCAAAAACGGCAAAGTGGCCAATCAGATTGCAAAATTGCTGCCAGTTGTGGTAAAACTCAGTACCTAATATAGCTATGAACTTATCTTTATTTCTAAGGGCTAACTTCTTTTGACTCGGGTGTGTTGGAAGTTGGAAAAACTGTTTATATTAAGAAAATGGGAATGAAGCGTGCTTGGTCTTTTTCATCTTTCGAGCTTCTTATAAGCACTTTAGCTCAAGTCGGTAAATTGACGAGAGCTATAATTTTCCCAAAGAGTTTTAGTCAGCAAAAGCAAGCTGTTTTCTATCGTTGTTTAGGTTTAGTTAAAAAACAAAATGTAAAGAAAGGTTCAAATGGAGATAGAATGCCTTTCATGTACCTCTTACACATTTTTCCTTTGTTCAAATCTAGTTGAGGAAGATTACAATGAACAAGGTATGAAGTCATAACGAACGCAAAAGGAGATGATTCTCTAAAAATTCCATGCATCTTGACATTATTCCTTACATTTATTTTTTTGGTTTTCATCTTGGGACAAAGTTTCAGAGGTCGTTAAAATAAGCACATTTAGGGGCATAACATATATTATTTGCTAGGCTTAATTGCAAAAATTCAAATTTTGTCCATTGAATAACTAATTAAAATATATCGTGAAATATTTACAGAGAAGAAGAGACCACCTAAGGGGACTAACACATTTTTAAGGCCTCGTGATTAATGGAAAATACCAAGGATAACAATATTTAAATTAAATGCAAAAAGCTCCCTTAGCTTAGCAGTGTGGAAAGCTTTCTTTTTTCCATTTTTTCTTTTTCTTTACCCTACCACTCAGATTCGTTTTTGTTCGAGACATTCTACTTCAGAATCTTTTTCTTTATCATTTTTTTTTTCTTAGCCACATCAACTGAAATTCGTTTTTATCTGAAAGCGATTTACATTTTGAAACTTTTAATCCACTAAAAACGCATGAAAACGGAAGCAAAATCAATCATTTCAGCCCCTTGTTTGGATTTTTTTATTCACTCATAAAAAATCTGAACTCCGGTGCTTATATCGCGAAATTGTCATAGTTCTATTTTTTCTGCTGTTAAAGGAAAAATAATATCGCAAAAGGGTTATGAAATAAATGGTCAGGCCTCTAAGTGGTTCATCAGTAGGAAGACGATACGATAAACAATCCATATTTTTGTGCAGAAGGATTTCAAAATCTGAATGGGTAGAAGTTTTAGCTCATGAATTGATGTCTATTAAAATTGTCGAAGACCTCCCTGTTTTCTGTAAGTAATGGTTTCACTCAACATTACTCAATTATATTATATTGTATTCGTTATTTTTTTTAAGATTTTCTTTTTCGCCAACCTACGCGAGACGTTTCGCACTCCTAACAAAAGCTATCCTCTAATGTCTGACTTCATAGATAGCTGTCGGCGTCTAAAGTTCTTGCAACAGAAAGATGGATATGGATTGGTAGGCCACGTCATTCAAAACATTTCATTACCAATCGGAATGCATATTTATAGTCACTGCAGAAATTGGTGTACAATGGAAGACAGGTGTAGATCGATCAACATGGGACCCTCAGGAGAAAAAAATAAATTTTTATGTCAATTGAGTGAATCGGATCACTTACAACACCCAAATGATCTGAAACCGATGACAGGCTTTATGTATAGGGGTACGGAGGTAAGAGTTTTATTATCGCTTTTTTTGTTTTTTGTTTTTTGAGTTTGCTGCTGTTCGTAAGCCTTGTGTACCGATAGTTTCCTCGCTCCTTTGTGAGCCTTCGGCAACTCAGATAGGGCAATTTTATTTCAAAACCTTTTAAAATGAGGCCTGTGTTACAATATTTTCTCAACCGCCAGAAAGATACAACTCGTACGAACTCAACTACTTTATTAACTGACGTAATAATTGCGGATACCAATACTAATACGATAACTATCTTCTTAACTTAGAGCCCTCTATAGCTATAAAACTATAACCTCAGTGCACTACTGCACAACTCACAGCTTCCTTCAATGATCCTTGCAACGTGTCGACGTCCACAATACTTTTCCCAACGTAGCCTTCCGCACGGCTGACGATTCCAATAAGTGTAAATAACTCCAACAACTCTCTGTGGTCCGGCTCTGTAAAAACACTAGCTCCTCTGGGCTCTTCACGACAACACTAACTCACTGAAAAAGGCCTAACTTTAACTGCTCGCGACTCCTTCTATATCTTTCACAAAATGTTCTCCAACATTCTAGGGATTTGTAATACTATCATTTTTAGTATAATGACATCACTATAGCATCATAACAAAATATGCTGACTAAGGGTTCAAGAAAGTTTCATTAAGAGTTCTCAATGAGTCAGCAGGACTAAGCGTTCTAGAGACTTCTTGAGTTTTATTTTTAGGAATTATGTAACGCAATGCACTCTCCATAACACCTGAGAACACTTGAATCGGTCAAAAAGGAAAAAAAAAAGATAAATGAGTTAAAAAAAAACAAAGCTCCTATATGACGCACGTTCTGATTGGCTGAGACAGCATGCCTTATCAGAGTATCAAGAAGGAAGAACGAATCGTTTCCCCCCCTCGCTTCTTTTGCTCTCTAACCGCTTCACCCTTCGCACTTTATAACAGAACAGAGCAAAGTCGAGGCTTCTTTATTTGTTACAAAAAAAATGATAAAACTCCAAGTATGCCCCGTATGGATAAAAAGTATACATCTCTCGCATGAATAGCATCTCCTATATTTTATGAAAAATAAAGCTTATTATCTTTCCCCATCAGAACAAGTGTTGTTTAAACATGTGCTACAACAATGGAACTTGCCTGGTTGTATTTACGGATGAGGGATACAAGTGTGTTTGTCCACCTGGTTACGCGGGAGACCACTGTGAAAAAGGCAAGAGTTATTTTGCACGTGCGCTCTAATAGTCATGTTAGCCACTGCAATTATGCATCGCTTTTGCGGAGGAGTCAAAAACGAAGACCCAAAAACGAAGACCTAAGACCTAAGACCAACTTGCTAAAACGAAGACGCAATGGTCTAAAACGAAGACCCCGTGGTCTAAAACGAAGACCTTGTGGTCTAAGACGAAGACCCACTGGTCTAAAACAAAGACCCTGTGGTCTAAAACGAAGAACCTGTGGTCTTAAGCGCAGACGCTGTCAGTCCAAAACGAAGACCCTGTGGTCTAAAACGAAGGCTCTGTGGTCCAAAACGAAGATCCTGTGGTCTAAAACGAAGACCAATTGTTCTAAGAACCTATTTTTCAGGGAAAGGCTATACACTAAGCTAAACTGCTTTCATTTCTGTAGCGCATAAATTAAAATGTCATCCGAACGCGCGACCGACTTGACAGTTATGTTATCTCAGTCGGTACAACCATGTCAAATTGTGTAACGCAATTAAATTCTAAGAATATAGAAATGTACGTTTTAGAGACGATTTTGGTATATTTTGTCGTCACAAATACTCAATTTTTCAAATGCATATTCATTATTAGTAAGTAAAAGTAATAGTAAGCAATGGTAATCAAAGTTTAATGTCTTCACATGGGGCATGGTTACCCATATTGCCCGAGCCAGAGGCTCATGTATGAAACGCAAGACAACAACCCCCCCCCCCTTTCCGGTTAGGCCAGTTAACACCAGTTATGTGA